TGTTTAAATTTACGCCAATTTTCACTTAAATTTCCTTGTAGTGACAAATTAGTTGGGGGGTTTGAACTCCATTTTGGCTTTTTTATATTCAATTGCCACGAGGAATGCAAGAATTTTTTGTTAGGTTAAGTTCTTCAACACTACACTTTTTGATGTTTTTAAACTTTTTACCATTAAAAACTTAGTTCAAAATTATTCAACAAACTAACTACCTCAACTGCGCCATGTTGTGTCTTGTTATTAATAATTAAAGACAATATTTCGTATCACTTGTTTATTAACATAAACTTATTCAGACATACATTTATCGACTGTGTTAAATGTCACAATTTACTTGTGTGTGTCTCTGGTGACAAACAGTGTTACCAACACAACAATAAAGTGATCTTCCAGTTTTTCACCAGCTTCTGATTTTAAATTTATCAGTCTTCTCCAAGTTGATAATCTTGTAAATGAGCTAGACCTTGCAAAAACAGCTTTTAAAGCTTTTATTTGGTTTTTAGCAGTTTTGCTCTCCTTGACTAAATCCAAACGTTTTATAAACTATTTGACAGTATCTTACGGTTTTAAAAAACAGCAGCCAACTTATATAATTCAATGTCATAATCGTAACAATAATTAATTCTAACAGATTTTTTTGCCAGATTTCGGTTTTCCAAACCTTTTGCGTAGGATAGTGGATTTAATTAAACCAGTTATTGCAAATCCGTCCAATAGATTAGTTATAAAAACAATTACTGAATAGGTAATAGATTTTAGTAAAATTCATCACATGTAACAAAAAACGACAAATTCATTTTATACTATAAAACGAAATACATACCAATAATTCCTTCTTAAAAGAGGTAAAGTTGGCAGCACGATTTTTATCCATAATAAATATTAATTATTGTTCTTTAACAATTGTAAGCGTACACACCCCCCCAGCAAAGAATCTGTAAAAAGTTACACCCCAAGTGATAAATGAAATATAACACCACGGCAAATGTTATATTAAATTACGACTTATAAATAAAATAAATACTTATGGTAATAAAGCTCATTAATTTAGTAACCCAAGGTACTTTTGAGGTGTTGTATTCATGGGGAAAGTATTAAAAGGGAAATAATAAATACGGTAAATAAAAGGCAATAAGTTACGTTTGAACTCAGGTCAAAAACCCGGAAGGCTCCCCTTTATTTTTTTATTTAAGTATAAGGTTTTATAAAACCTTCCAAAATGAGGGATTATGGGAGTGACTTTCACGTATAAAATATTTAAAATTTATTACAAACAATAATGATATTTATTTGGATAGAGCAACAGAATAATATTTAAAATTTATTACAAACAATAATGATATTTATTTGGATAGAACAACAAAAATAACCGCAACCCAAACGACATTTAACTTAGTGAACGCTGAAAGAAAAGGACCTCCTACAACCCCTTTAAACCCACACAATATCTCCTTGCTGCGACCAGGGCCGGATTTACGAATTTGCCGCCCATGGGCCCAACGCATCATTACCCCGAATAACGAATGACTCAGCGAATAAGCTAGAGTCGCGCCCCACCCGCCTCGTGTACATCGACTGCCGCCCTTCTACGCAGTGACGCACTACGCAGAATAATAGTGTAGTCTGATATAAAATTATCTAATGTATTAAAAAACTTCTCTTCCAACTTTTTATAGTTTTAATTAGTGTATAAATCCGAGTGAAAACAAAAATTCTGCATAAAACGCTCTTGATTTTTTAGCAAAATTTTAACTGGCCTTCAAAATTTGCCGCCCCTAAAAATATGCCGCCCTGGGCCCGGGCCCATGTGGCCCATGCCTAAATCCGGCCCTGGCTGCGACCACAACCCAAATATAATTAAATATATAAATACCATTTGATAAATAATACATCATACTAGAGCTTAGCTCTCGTTTTTCATTTTTTAATTTTAATTTGTTTCTTCGCCTATTTGCTGGTTTGTTTGTTTGTTTGTTTGGTGAAAGTAGATTAGTCTCTATTTTGTATTTTAAATTTAACTTTATTCATCAAGCATTCCGTCTGCAATAGGCCTCCATCATCCAAATAAAGTTTTTGTATTTATTTACTGTTGAATTTAAGTTTACTGTTACACAAATTTTCATGTAATATTTATTAGAGTTCAGGCTCAATAAACTGTTGGAAAAGGAGTAAATAATTATTAGGCCGCGATTGCTTCAACTGAGGGTCCGCAATTGTCTATTTTGCCTCATTTGTCGGCAAACTTTAATAAATTAATAATTACCATAAAATACTAGGTAATCAAAATGACACAAATAACAAAAACAATATTCCGTCGCCCAACGTTGGTACCAGATGAAACAACCGATCGTCACCTATTAAAATTTACAGGATAGTAATTCAAAATGGGCTTGTTGCATCATGGACTCCACGGGCAGTGGATAAATTAAATGTCGTTATCACACAATTACTGTTGTTACTCACTCCAAACGTATTACCAAATAATTAAATATGACTGGCAAAATTACTAGTTACGGGACATAAATGTGAATCCGCGAGTACAATTTAATAAATCCCGTATTCAAGAAAATCGATATTAAATTCACTTAATTTACACAGCGTTTATGTTAAATCCCTTTTGTAAAATATTTATTAAAATTAATTAAATAATCTTAAGTAAAGGCCTGACATTTAGCTAAATAAAACTTAATACGGCCCTGTTCTTTTTTATTAGATAAAATACACGTAAATTCCTGCTCTTTAAATTTGATAATTATTCGTAACAAACCCTGCCTTTTATTTGAAAAAATCAAGTACCAATTGTTTATAACGTAGAATCTAAATTATAATACGAAATACCTAATTTAAACGTTAATTTAATTAGTTGATTTCGTGCGTGGTTTCTAAAACGGCAGCCATTACGGCTGAATAGATTGAACGATAACGCCAAGTCAATTTATCGAATATTTATCTTTACACAAGGTGTTTGTGTAAACTAATTATACCAAAATGCTCGGGAATATTTATACTATAATAATTTAGTTATTTAAATGTACAAACCTACAAATTCCAACACTTTTTTGCACACACAATTTTTAAAACCCTTGTCGCTGCTCGGCTCTATTAATGTAGGCATATACTAAATTCTGTTGTACCAACTTAACGTTGACACCGCTGATCTAAGTTCAACAGAACTGCTGTTGAGTCGATATTGAAAAGTTCATTAACTGATCTAAGTTTCCCTGAACCAAGGTTTAAACCCTAATTGAAAAACCGGCCCTAATACAGGTAAAATCTAAAAACCAGATGAATTTCATTTAAAAAACCAATGCAAAGTTTACTTTTTAATCAGGCCACCAACAAAACACGCGCGGGGCCCTGACTACCTAACCTAACATTTCACGTTTTTTAAACGTATGTCGAGAAATCGGTGACATTCGACATTGATGACGCAATTTCAAACATTCGCCGCGACGACTATGAGAGCATTTCCCTATATAAAAGTGTCATCATTTTTTTCAGCAATTCGAAAAAAAAAACATTTTTGGCAAATAAAAAAAAAAATTTGATTGAAAATGATCATACTTTTTTATAGGGAAATTTAATTTTTTTTCAAAAATTGAGATACGATGTTTTTATTTGCGAATATCGATAAATACACTGTTTCCATTTAAAATGGACCACCTAATAGAAAAAAAGAAAACAAGAAAAGTGCTCTTTTAGTTCCACCCTTACTTCCTAAGAAGTCCCAGAAGCCAACTGAATGGCTTGTGCATGTTAGGGGTAGGAACGGACCGCGGGCTTAAAGTCCCCTCCGAAGGACTACTACACAATAGGACAAACTCAAATAATATTGTAGATCTCATCGAGACTACCACTTTTTTAATTAAATATTTCTTAAAAATATTTCAACATTTATCTCAGTTTATGTGTTTGAGGGATTTTTGAGAAAATATTTTTAAAGCCCTTTTATTTAATAATAATAAAACGTTCGAAAAATAACTTTAACCCTCAAATGCATCGGGTAGCAAATTTGCAACGCTCCGGGAACTTTTACATGTATTGGCTCGAATGCATGGTGTAACATAACTGCAACATAGTATTTGCTAAAAAAAATTATTTTACCATAGATTGCGTTTGAATGACAGTTTTATTTAATTCTTTACTGAATAAATAAGTATTCTACTAAATGAGTAAGATATTTACTTTTATCTAAATAATATTATTGATGAAAAAACAGTTGGTGATTGGCTTTTTTCTAATATACTGATTGTAGTATATCTGCAACAATATGCACTTAAGTCCTATATCTTTTTGTAGCATGAGTAGCAAAAAAGGTCTGACGGATGAGGAATTTGCTACATACTGTTTTTTTGTTCTTTTTTTTTCAAAATAAATTTTTGTATTTAAATTTGTTTTTTTTAGGTAAATAAAATAGCGCTTCAAAGTCGGTAAAAATTACCCCTTTTTGATTATTTTGCTGAAAAGTGGTCATTTTGACGACTACTGTTCTTTTGATTTGTACAACAGTTTTAGGGTATACTAACAAAAACACGGTCTTTTATAGCATATTTTTTATTTACTTAAAAAAATTCCTTTAAAAGTTTTTTTTCGAGCGTTTTTTATTATTAAATAAAAGGGCTTTAAGGATATTTTTTAGAAAAACCCTTGAGGAGGTTAACTAAGATATAAGTTAAAGTATTTTTATCCGAAATTTTATAAATATTGGTAAAGGCGTTTTAGAGTTTGATTTTTTTTTACTAGTTATGCGTTAATTTTGACGCGCAGTGTAATTTATTAGTAGCAATAATACGTTAATTGACTATCCAAGTTAATAAAGAATAGATAAACATCCAGTTTATAATGTTTAAAGATTACTGTAAATTAAAAGCGTTTTTGTGCGAGGAAACTAATCTTCTTTTGGGTTGATTTAATTACCATTTGTGATTCCTTCCAAATCAATTTATTTAATACTCTAATCTCCGATTTCACACTTAAATCATTGCAATGTATTTGCTTACCTTCTTAATCTTTCTAAATCGCCATTTTCCCTAAAGTCAAGCATCCTCTTGTTGAACATTTTTATGTATTTTGAATTTCTGGGAAAAGCCAATCCATATCCAGTCATTGCGTACCACGAACCAACTGTCATTAATCTACAGTCTTCATCCTGTGAGGTTAGGTAATCAAGAACGGTTCCATCGTAAATAAAAGCATCCATTTCCCCACTGAGAACCTGAGCGACTCCATCAAGAACAGTAGATTTGTTGTAGGTTCGCATGTACGAGTGCATTTCTTTAAAATATTTTGCTATTGTTGAGTCACTATGTGACCATGGTATTGTACCGAATTTAATAGTAGGCTTGTGAGAAAATGGTCTGGAAAGACGAGAATCATCCAAACCTGAAATAAAATAATTTATATTTCAATATTTTTTAAAAGCGACTGTTGTTGTCAATTTAGATAAGGACTGTATACCAAATCATTTTTGTTTATGTTGACAATAAAAAATACATTTTAAAAGGATAAACAAGATTTACTTCAAAGGACAAACAGATTTAGATCGCATTACCAACACACGGGAGTGGCAGTTTTAAGCCTGCGTAAGGAAAATTGCCTTTTTATGTTTTACTTTTATGCGCGCCTTACAATACAGTTTATGCACAATAAAAGGTTTTTAAAACAAAGAAAATTTTAGCCTTTATTGTACTAAGATCATTACCCATAAAAAGCATTTTTCCTATTAAATGGATACAATGATACTTGTATAAATATTAACTTTTTAGGGAATGTAGGACCTACATTGTAGGTACACATTAAATTATGTAGTTTTTTTAAATTCACAATAATAAAAAATAGTAGGTATAGGTTCCAACACTCTTTAAAGCAACGGTTAAATGATTATTTATTATACAGGGTAGCCCATAAGTGAATAGGCGATAACTTTATTGATAAAATATTTTTATGAATTTTTTTTTATAATAAACTACACTGAATATTTTATTACGCTATGTATGAATTCTTCTATGCGTTTCATGAATTGAAAACAGATTTTTAAAATAAGTTTAAGAACATATATAAACGCGTTTTTTATTATAAATTATAATTTGCAGTGATTTGTCAAACATTAGGGTAGAATAGTACCTATATTCTGTAACAAGTTTGGAATACGACACATTCCGTTCGAGTGAAAAGTTTGTCACACGATCCGAAGGCGAGTGTGACTGTTTCACGAGAGGGGAATATGCATTTCCAAACGTGTTTCATACTATACTTTTTCCACGTTTTCAAAAAATATCATAGAAAAATATTTTTTTTGGGAGGAAGTGAGGTTGGATCGGTCTAATATATATTCTACTTCTATTTCGGAATATGACCGTTCTAATATCACTTTTTAATTAGGAATGACATATTTTCCTTAAAGTATTACAGAATGAATTATTCTATCATCGGATGACGGAATAAACACTGGTGGCGTATTTTTTGGAAACGTAAAAAAAGTATAGTCTGTATAGTATAGTCTGTATATTCCCCTCTCGAGAAACTTTTCACTTGAGCGCAATATGCCGTATTCCAAACTTCTTACAGAAAATACTATTAAAATGACAACATGGGTTAAAGGTTCTGTCACTTTTAAAAAACAGCCCTTGTATGTAAGTACTATGTCCCACTAACAACACCCCAAAGTATTTTTTTTAAATATGTTTAAATGAAAGTTTTCATTTTGTGATTAATAGGTATTAGGAAGATATTTAAAATAGGTAAATTAATTAATGGTACTAAAAAGGTCAACATGTTTTTTGGTTATCTAACAATCCACACAACAAGGTCTGTTCTATCTCTTCTATCTATCTAAATTTACTTAAGAAGAAATTGTGATTTGGAGCCATACTTCTTTCAGGATTTGTTTTTACATTAAATGTATTTTTTGACTTTTTTGTATAGATAATTGTAGGTTCTCTTGTAATTTTATGTGCAAATTTTTTAAAATAAACGATATTATTACTATTATTATTATTGTCAACAAAAATATTGCTTTCTAAAGTATTCCATTCAGTCAGAATGACCTAATATCTACGGCACTATAATCGTTCGAATAATCACTCATTTTTAAACATTTAAACACAAGCACGGTTACTTTTCAAATGAGGGTGTAGGGGGGTACGAGTTTATCCCCTCCTCAAGGTCAGTTCGTAAATACAAGAAATTATCCAATAATTATTCTTGAAACGAAAAGTCAAACGATCAGATTTTCTTAATACATGAACAATAAATTTAAATATTCTTTAAGTAAAATGTACAAGCCCTGATTTTTTTGTCCCAAGAAAAGGGTTATTTTTAGAAAATAATAAACATTTTACTTAAATAAACGCAATGCGTTTCTTCAATGAAGAAAAATTCTTAAATCAAGAGTTTCTTTAAGAAATATATTTAGTATTTAAAAGAAATTGAACATTCTCGTCATAAAACATTTGTCCTAAATCAAATCAAATTAACCCTATTCAAGTAAATATTTTTGAGAAAAATAAAATTCTATATCGAAGAAATCTTTTTTAATAGTGTACAAATAGTTATGTCGAAAAAAACTAATACCTACTTTTCATGTGTTCTAGGTTTTTATACTATATTTTATGGTAAGAAATTTGTTAATAAAAATTTAGAAAATTGGATGGCAAATAAACACATTTTTTAATTTGCAAAAAATGTCAATATTTTTTCGGAAAATCCCAACAAAAATTGTATTTTATTGTAGTATAATAAACACAAATGAAAAATATACATGTTTATCTACAACATTTAAAAATTTTCCAAACAATAACAAAATGTTATAAATAATACTGCTTTTTGATAAAAGTTGTAACTTTTATTTTGTTTGGTGGGGTTATATTAAATTTTATCTCCGCTGATTTATTACATATATTATATATGTATTTAATATAACTAAAAATGTTTATACTCAAATAATATTAGTATGTTTAATTTTTTTATATTTTCATATTTTTAAATATTATCTTTATAAATCATTTTTAGACACTTTTATTTAAATTAATATTCTTATATTTTAAAATGTAATATAAAAACTTCAAAAATCCAAATCTAAAACTAAATGTGTTTGTATTTAGACTTTAAAATTTAAACATAAAACTGGACCTAATATAGATATTACAGTTATCTTTGGTTATTTTATTATTGTTGTTAGAGCTGTATAACGACAAGTATCGTTTATTATAAGTTAGATAGTTTATTAATTCAAAATACATATTTACAAGTGTTAGGGGAGACCGGGGTACAACGGGGTACCGGGACAGAACGGTGTTTTATTTAAATTTCCCACTATCATCCTTTGTTATCATTTACTAGAAGGCCAACACGTCAGTCACGATGCAGAACTTGTCTGTGAATTGTGTAAGCCCGGTAACCCCATTCTGCCTCTTAGGCGGGGCGGAATGGAGTAAAGGACACTTTTTTTTAATATGATAATAAAAAAAAATTGTTAAGCATAAATTGTTAATTTGTACCACATCTCTACCATACTAAAAAGTCCACATTCGGCCCCGGTCTCTGCTACATGCGTAAATATGCCCTACAGTAGGACAAGTTAGAATATAATAAATTTAAAATAACTTTAAAAATTTAAAAATAATTAATTTACATTTAATATACATTGGGGTCATTCCACGTTACTCGGGGATTTTTGTCCCGCCCGTCACAATTAAAAATTGTGAGTAAAAACTACACGTTATAAAATTTATTTTAAAATATTCTTTATTATGCTTTTAATAAGTTATAAGCACAATAAAAATAATATTATAAATATTATAAAATATTAATTTAATAACTTGTGGTTTTTACTCACAATTTTTAGTCCAACCGTCGTTTGACCTTGCGTGCTGAGGCACTGTATTTTTCATGAATTGATAGGGGCTTATTTGAAAAGCATAAAACCAAATTTGCACCACCTGACAATATTTTTTTACAAAGATATACTTAAAAATATATTTTGTTCAGTTTTTGTGAATATCTAGGCATCCGTATACACAATAAAATTAATAGTAAGTAAAAAAATATAGTTAGTTAAAATTAAAAATTTGTTTTTCATATTAATTATAAATTTCGGTATATTTTAGGATAAATTATTATGATTATCATTTTGTACCTCTTCTAATATTCTACAATTTAAAAAAAAATAGAGCACGGTGCGAGTAACGAGAGCCGACCAATCCTCGAGTTTTCATGAATTGATAGGGGCTTATTTTAAAAGCATAAAACCAAATTTGTACCACCTGACAATATTTTTTTACAAAGATATACTTACAAATATATTTTGTTCAGTTTTTTGTGAATATCTAGGCATCCGTCTTTTTTAGAGTTAATGGCAATTTATTTAAAATTTAAACATAAAGAAAATGAAACTGCGAATCATTTTAACCCGGCCCACGGTGGCCGGAGATGTAAATTTACGCGGAAATAGTATATTAAAGTACAAGTTGCAGAAGGCCACATATTCTCGCACGAATTCGAAATTTGGCCTCGAGCGACGAAGGAGCGAGTGGACGAACGAATGAGTGCGAGAATAGCCTTCTGCAACGTGTGATTTATACTATTTTCTCGATTTTAACTTTTATTTAGGTTTTTTTAATTGTTTTGTGGTCGTTGTTAGTTGGGGGATTTTTCTCGCAAAATGTCAGTTGGCAACACAAAATGACAGTTGCATGGACAGGTACATTTATTTTTATTTACTATTTATTAATAATCACATATTATACAACTTAATAATCTGTCTGTATTTGTCAACTGGATAATAAGGTTTGGTGTAAGTATTGTATTATGTTTTAATGTTTTCTGATATTTTTGAACAATTGTCTTTACTTTTAGCAGTCAAAAATGTCACAGGAGGTTTTACAAGGAACACCAAACATTACAATAAAAGTTTATATCAATTGTGCTAGTGATTAATTTATAGTAGTTTTGTGTTTTGTGTACTGTGGGTATATAATATTTCCAATAAAATATAGTTTGATTGACCTGTTTGGCTCATTTATTTGTCAATATTTGTTATCCTGCACAAGTACAATTGGCGTCCTCGAAATGTGAACGATTTTTGGTTGTCATGGATTTTTTTCATAAAATTAATTCGTTTATTCCTGGCTTCGGCCAGTGGTGTTACAAATAGAGGGGATAATACTAAGAATAAGAATAATTTTTAATAATATTTTAACAAACAGTAATATATACAATATTACAAATAAATTAACTTTAATTTGGTTTTGTACAACAATATTAACAAGTAGGTAATTAACAAATAAAAATAACATAGCAAATTTAACATATTGCTCAAGAAAATTGGTCTTTGAGTGAAATAGCTGCAGATTTAAATGTCTTAAGCTTGTAGCAAAGTGGTG